ACACTGAATCATATTCCATTTCGGTCCATCGGGCCTCTGGTTCCAAGCATCATACTAATCACAACCAGATCCTCTTTGGTTCCTCTACCAGAGCTGCTGGTTCCTCAGCTAGAGCCTCTGGTTGCACTAACCAGAGTTTTTGGTTCTTATAAAATTTCTTAAATGTTCTTTAGCTAAGTTTCCAACCAATGAAATAACCTTTTTCATAAAAGAATAGTGATACAAAGTTCTTACTCGACCAGAGCCTCTGGTTGTACTAACCAGAGCTTCTGGTTCAAAAGTTATGACCAACCAGAGTCTCTGGTTCAACGTGTGAGTCGACCAGATCCCCTCTGGTCTGTCTTTTGTATAAAGTACTGAGTATAAATTCCTTTTTCTTAAAACTTCTTAAAAATATAATTTTGACACATAAGCTCTTATCAATATATACAAAGCCTCTGGTCCAACTAGTACGTTTTAGTAAACATTTGCATATTTATCAAATCAATAACAAGAACCCTCTAGTCCAATAGTGAGGACCAACCAGAGCCTCTCTGGTTCCTCATAAAATGTACATTCTGTTCCAAAAATACTTTTTGCCAAAACCAATTACCATAGGCCACATTTTTTTCCATAACCATAACATCAATACTACTTTTTCCAATAAGAACAACATCTCTGAATCCTCAAATCACCAAGAAGAGAGAACTCCAATCTGTTGTAATCTTAATAGATATACTAGCAAGAGTTATACCATGCACGCACACAACGACCATCCTTATTACATCCATCAATCCCTGTTTATAGCAATAGCTATCCATCACACACAACGACCATCCTTATTTCCCCTGAAATTCATATGAACTATTTCATCCAATGACAGGCTGCAGACCTTTCTGTCAGAGTGAACCTCGTTCATAGTTTTATCCAAATCATATTCTCAACACAGGTTTATAATCAAACCTTTCCAATCNCCCTAACCCCTAACCCCTAAACCCCAAGCTTCCTCATTTGCATGAATTTTTTCTCTCTCTAGTTTCTCTCTCTAAAAAATTATCTCTAGCTTTTTGTGGTTGTTCATAGTTTTCTTGGTGTGTTTTTGTCCATGGATGATTCGAAACGTGTTTTGAAGGAATCCATGCATAGAAAAACTAGAAAATCTCGTATGCCGATTCATCGTGTGAAGTTCTCAAATCCTCTTCCAAGTTCTCTTCAAGGAAATGTTGAAAATTTTGAAGAAAATTGCAAGTTAAGAAGATATGATAAGGTTTGTATGCATCGTTCAGTCCCTAGATCTGGTAATTCTAATCAGATTTTGGTGGATTATGATAACCCCAACGATATCCTTTCACCCTCCAAGGCTCTGGATGCGTTGGATTTTAATATTGGATGGAGTCAAGAAGATGGTATTGAAAAAGATAAAGAAGCTGATGAGAGTGGAAAACTTGTTCTCCCTTCCATACGGTCGTGTTCTAGGCTGGAATCTTCTATGCCGGAGGTTGTTCATGCCATTAACGATAAAATCTTGCAAGACTACTGCCTATCCAATCCTGTTAGTAGTGGTCTTGTCGCTTCGTTGTGTAAAAACGAAACGGTCCTTCCCCTCAAGTCTCGATCGTCATGTAAAGAAAGGCTAGGTACCTCTTCGGATGCTTCTGCTGCTCTTTTACCGGGGACAGATGCTCATGCTGGGTTGGAGTCCTCTTGTGACATTCCCTCTTCTCTATATAGTTTTCCCATTGCTATAAGCGAAAACGTGGTGGCATTCACCCATGAAACTAAGTCTCACGCTCCAAAAGATAGTGTTTTGCATGGCCATCCCCTTGGTGCGACGTCGTCTGAAAATCCTTCATGCTTCATCTCCAAGAACGATGATCCAACGGTCATATTGTTGAAGGATCACAAAAGTCAAAATGTTTTCATGTTTGGTGACCCACCTTGTTCTGAAAACACTGTGGACATAGCTGGGTTTTTTAATTTTCCCATGCAAGAAACCCACTTTCCAGCCGTTGAGAGTGATGGGTTAGGTTCTGCTGTGGTATGGCTTCCTCTTGAAAAAGATCAAAACTTTAAATGCTTGGGCGGGAATATTGAAGATGAAATGGAAAAGTCTCGGCAGGTGCAGGTGGGTATTAATGAGCATTGTAAGGTTGCTCCTTTTAGAGAGTATGGGGAAAAGTCTATAGGGCCGAAGGAAAGCATGGGGGGGAGATGTGCCTAGTTGTCCTTTGGGTAATGGGTTGCAATATTTTAATATTTGTCCCACAAAGGACGGTACTTCCTATGAGGATGGGACTATGGAAGTTTCGACTTCTGTTGATAAAGAAAGGAGGCAGGAAAAAGGTATCTTGTTAGCTAAATCTAGTCCTTGTGTAAAGGATCTAGTTGGAAAAAATAATCAGGTTGAGAAGTAGGTGGGTTTGTTGGTGCAGATTAAAAAAAATGGATTTAGAGCTAAGGAGAAGATTTGTCATGGTCCTTTGGATTTTAGCATGCATGAAATTTCTTGTAAAAATGGTGAAGATAAGAATGCTATCGGTCCAATGGATTTTAATTATGAAAAGGTGATGGACTCTTTGGTGGGTGGACATTTAAAAATAGGCACATTTTTAAATGTCCAAGGACCATTGTCAATAACCTTTTGAAGACCATCCACAGAACTAAATTTGAATAGAAAAATATCGTGACCATTTAGAAGGATATCCTCTATACCATATTGGGACCATAACTTAGACGCATAGAAACGCACAACCGGATATGGGAGACGTTTACCAACAAAATAGCCACATAAGGTTTTAGCATATGTTTCACAACTTTTTTGCACAACAGAAATAGGGATATCAATAGAAGAATAAACATCTTCACACAGATTAGGGATAAACCAAAAATTTTCATTGGTATGTTTATGCAACCCACTAATGACATTAGTATATGAATTTGGAAGAATTTTCTCATTTTTTTCATTCAAAACATTAGGATTATTTTTGGACTTATTTAGAAGGCTAGAGTTATCTTTACCCAAACTAGATTTAGCATGATTCATACAAGTAGCAGTAGGATCACATTCAACATTCATAGAATCCTTACCCAAAAGATCATCTTGATTATTAGAAGTGGCAAGTATGATCATAGGGAATAACATGGGAATCAGATATAGAGGGAGGGGGGAGGGGCTGGGGGCTGGGGTGACATGCCATTCAGAACAGAAGCATTGGGGGGAGAGATTGAAGTTTTTGAAACTAGAGGGTTAAGAAGGGTAGAAGGGAGCATACCTTGGTTAACTGCAGAATTAAGTTGGTGGCAATCCAAACCATTATCAAGGGGAATAATAGAATTAAGAGGGGTGGGGGCGGGACGGGAGGGGGAGGGCAAAGAACCACCCAAAACAATAGCATGCAAGGGGTTAACTTCACTAGAAATTGAAACAACAGGGGTGGAAAGGGAAATATGATGCGTACCTAGGCTGGATGGAGATGGGCCTAGGATAGACGATTTGGGAAGAGAAGCAGTCTGTCCCGAAATGAAGTCCACTTTCAACTTGGGCTTAGACGTCTTTGGGCCTGCTAGACAAGACCCAAGGATGGACTGTTTTGGTGAAACAGCCGCCTTGGGCTTAGGTTCCTTAAAATTGTTTAATATGGGCTCGGTATTGCGATCTGGCCTGCAGAAGTTAAATCAGCTGATTCTTTAAACTGAATATCATCTTGAGGGCCATCATCCATCACTAAGGTTGGGCTTTGAACACCATTGGACTCAACCTTCTTATTACTATCAACCATTTGCGTGTCTACATGATCCATATCCGTAGGCCTATTTTCCTTGGATCCAGACCCATCCTCCTCCATTTCCATGCATGGTTGACCTTCACCATTTGAACCAACAAATAAGCAAGTCGTCACCTTTCCTTTCAATGGTCGACAACCCAAAACAGGCAGTCTCCAAACTTTCCATATTCGGCTCTGAATGACTTCCATTTTTAGAGTTTGAGAAAAAATGGAAAATATTATCTTGATTCTCTAAACATGGCATGCTTCCAAAATTAAAAACTTTCAGGTTCAGGGACGATTCATCGATTCTGGGCTGTTGCATGCTACGTTCATCCATCTTCAAGCTTGAAGAACACAGTCCTTGAACCACCTTGCTAAACCCAAGATTTTTCATCTTTTTTAAACTACCAGAAGACCAATTTTGAAGTGGAGATTCAGTTTGATTCTTACAAATCGCAGCAGATAGACCTTGGCTTACAGGATTAGACTGACAATAGTCTTTCTCTATGACGGGATATTGATTGTCAATAGGATCTTTAAGCGATTGTTGCTTCTGTTCTTCACGCTGCTGTTGTTCTTCTTCATTTTGAACCATACCATTGTTGTCCTTCACCAGAAGCACCCCTTTTGATCGACTATGAGAAACTGAAGTACTCCTTTTGCAATTGAATTTTTTGCACGTATTACCACCATAACACGATTTCCAGAAAACAGAAGGCAGCAGCACGTTACCATCATTTTCTTCCAAACATTGAGTCCTCGAATCTTCTTTCCTACCTTCACAAAACATATTAGTGTCCAATGAAGTAGGAGGGAGATTTTGGCGAACCTGGACATATTCTTTTTCCGTGGTATGGATGATTTTCGTGAGTGTGTCCGTCACCTTGAGGTTAAGGATATCAATTTCAAGGGTCTCTTCTACACCTGGTCTGACAATCCCAATGGCACGGGAGGTCTCCTCAAAAAGATTGATTGTGTCTCGAGTAATCCTCATTCCATTGCCCATTTCCCTTCCGCGTCTGTCATCTTTCTCCTTTATTGGTCCTCGGACCATAGCCCTACGGTCCTCACTCTCCCACCCTGTACCTCTTGAAAACCCAAGTCGTTTAAGTTTCATAACTTCCTCACTCGCAAAGAGTCCTTCACTTTTGTTGTGTCTTCTAGATGGAGCCCTGATCTTTTCGGTCATGAGATGTATAAGATTTCTCAAAGCCTTAGAAATCTCAAAGGACCCCTCCGTAAGATTCTTAATGATTAGCGTAATCTTTTCTTTAAAGTGTGTAAGCTTTGGCTTAAGCTTGACAGGGTCCACATCGCTATTGATAGGGATCCTGATAGTGGGGCCCTCCGAGAGGAACACTGTAGGTACTTATCTGCCGATAACAGTGCTTGTCTTGATGAGGAGTGGTTACTTAAGCAAAAATCCAAAATTAATTGGCTCCATGAAGGAGCCAAAAAATTTTCATTTTCCATAAGTCGGTCAAGAGCCGTATCAGTAGGAATCACATTGATACCATTCAAAATGCTGACGATTTCTGGATTTCTAACGATGAGGTCCTCTGTATCTTTGTTTCCCACTTCCAAAACTTTTTCGGCACCTCTCACCCGTCTCTCCCTATCCATGACCCCGCTTATCTTTTTACTAGAAAACTTAATGCCAATCAAGCCGCCTTGATGCTCTCTCCTTTCGATGACTCCGAGATCAAGCAGGCCCTTTTCCAGATGGGAGATGATAAGGCTCCGGGGCCTGATGGATTCACATCCAAATTCTTTAAAGCTGCTTGGGGTATTGTTGGTAAGGACCTGTATTTTGAAAGCAAAAGAATTTTTCAACATGAGACATTCTTTTGTAAGAAATGTTATAGAACAATGCTTCTGTATTTTGAAAGCAAGGTGGGGAATTTTAAAAGATAATTTGTACTACCCTATTGAACTGAAAGTTCAGGTCATAATGTCATGTTGTCTTCTTTATAGTTTTATAAGACAAAAAATGTCAATTGATTCGTTTGAAAACATATCTTGCTTGAATACTGAACACCAAGATGAGAATAATATCACTTATGTAGGTGCTTCTACCGAGTGGACTGAATTTAGAAATAATTTGGCCCAAACTATGTTTAATGATTGGAATATTCTACTTCATTTTTATGGTTTGTAATATAATATTTTCATTTTTATGGTTTATAATGGTATAATTTGATTTTTATCGTTATTAATTTTAATGGTACAATCATTATTAAGTTTAATGGTACAAGTTGATCTTTAATGTTAGGTATGATGGATAAAAACAATGGCCGTAAGTATCGAAATTGGTCAAAAATCGAAGACGAAAAACTTGTTGATGCATTGGTAAATATAGTCAATGTTGGAGGATATAAAGCTGATAATGGCTTTAAATTTGGATACTTGCAACATTTGGAACAAGCATTGAAAGTATCGCTTCCTGATTGTAATATATTAGGTAAAACACACATTGAGTCAAGAATAAAGACCATGAAAAAGGACTGGTAAATCGTACATGATATGCTAAATGGTACGAACACAAGTGGTTTTGGTTACGATAGTTTTAAAATGTCGGTGACTGTGGCTTTGGTTTAGGAGTCTTACCTGCAGGTACATATTACAGTGTATTACATATTACCATAAGAATTGCTTTTTCAAGGTTTCTATGTCTTTTGCAAATTTAGGTACACAAAGAGTTTTCAAATTGGAAAAACGAACCATTTCCTCATTATGAAGACTTGTCATATGTTTTTGGAAAAGATTGTGCTCACGGAAATCAAGAAAGAGACTATGACGGTTTAGAAGAAAATACTGACATGGAAGATAGTCAGATGCCTAGTCAAGAACAACAATCTGATGAAAACATAGACTATCTGACAAAAGATAGCTAAATGCCAAGTCAATAGTGTACATTTCAAGGTAGTAGGAAGCGCAAGGGTCGAGGTGATCCTCTTGTTGATACAATAAATAATGTTGTTGTCATACTTGGAGATAGATTTTTAAAAACATCGGACAATTTGGTTCAAGTTGATTTGGATTTACATAAAAACTTCCATGGTTGGTTCTGAATTTGCCAAAATGAATCTTGCTTCAATGGAAAAGTTTACAGCACTAGGAAAAATAACACGTGAACTTGAATCTATGTTAAACTTTTGGAACTATGAAGGAGAAGCTCGAGATGAGTTTATGAGGTATATTTTGCAAGAATGATTATGCTTGATGATTTAGCTCTTTTTTTTAGAACTATAATGCTTAATGGCTTTTGGAACATGTATTTGAACATGTTTTGTATTTTGGCGTCATACATACGATTGTTTGATGGTTGCATGTAATTATTTTGAACATGTTTGATGGATTTTGAAACAATTTTAATATCAATTTAATAACTTTATTTGGTTTATGGTTATATTTGAGTTGTGTATTTTTATATTGTTTTACACATTAAAATATTTAATGATTATTTAATTAAAATATTTTTAGTTTTAAAAAAAATTAAAGTAATTAATAATTATTATATTAAAGTATTTTTAGTTTAAAAAAAGTAATTTATCAAATATGGTATCTTAGTCATTTACCTGAATTTCATTCAAATTCCAAAGCTACATTATTTGAACCAAATAGACAGATTCCAATTCTGTCAACCAAACAAGTGGTCGAACCTAACAATATTCTATTCCAATTCCTCCAAAGTCAAATTCATTTGCCAGATTCCATTCCATCCAAAACCATTTTGTAAACTAAACGTCACCTTTGAGTTCCCACACCAATTCTCTTAAATATGGGTACCCTCGGTTAGGTCAAACCAACTTCCTTATGCACCAGGGTACGCCAATGTAACAACTTTACATAAACAAGATTAGAAAATATCAACCAAAAGTTAACACACATCCATTATACATATTGGTAAGTAGGATCGACTGTTCCAATATCAAATCCTTGGTCGGTCAGATTATGGTCTGGATCCTACAACACATGTGAAGTCGTTAGCGAGGACCAAAACCAGAAAAGATAAATTCAAATATCTGGTGTATACCTCCATTCCCCATTTGATGTAATCTGGGGACTCGCACGCCTTATATTCATCGACCAAACTGTCAAGTAAGTCTTTAGACTCATCGAATTCTGAAAGATCCTAGAAAAAAGAGTGGGTGCGTAGAAGCAAAAGTTGATGAATTTCAAAATATGCAATAGAACATATTCGGTTCTTAAAGAGATTAACCCATGTTTTTCTTTCAACATTACAACAAAATTGAGTTTATAGGACACTAAAAATGTCTAAGTATACCAATAGACTGTCTTATAGGACCAAACGATAAAGCGTCTTATCTAAGGTGTTGCAATAAGTTTATAAGACGCTTTTGGGCATCTTAACAAACCTTTTTGGTCATTTTCAAATAAAGTGTCGTATTAGCTATTTTATAGGACACTATTTAAAAAAGTCTCATAAAAACAAGTGTCTCATAAAAACAAGTGTCTTATAAAAAAAAGTTGTATTTATAGACACTTCTCCAAGGTGTCCTATAAAATAACTAATATGATGCTTTATTTTAAAAATATCCTAAAAATATTGTTAACACTCTTTGATAAACTTAAGACCTATAAAGTCATCTTTTGGGACACCTAAAACATTGTTGGCGTCTTATAAACCCGATTTTGTTGTATGGCAACACTCAGAATAATAGTAAAAATACATATGTTCTACATTAATCAACACACTAGCAGGAATAATGACACGACACTAGTGAGCAATAACTTACAGCAAACATAGGGAAACTCTTGTACTTGTCGAGAAAGGCTTGCCTTTTTCTTAGGAGAGAATACTGACTCAAACACTTGGAGAATAGATGTCGAATTCCGGTGTAACTTGCTAGCATGAGGCCACTTACCTAAAAGAAGATTAAAAAAAAACTATATGGATTTCATTTGTATCAATAACAAGACCGCCTGATCACAAGAAAATAAAATTGTCAAGATATATTGAAGGATCACCCTATGGGCAGTTCGAACGTAGGGAGACTTCCGTGAGAGAGCAACCTAAAAGCAACAGAATTCATGTCAAATTAAAGGATATAAAGTAGCATGATGTAACACCTAGTGTCATTATAAGACGTACTTGAATGCTAGCAGGACCCCATTCGATGAAGTTAACAAGCTTTCTTTCACGTATTCGTTGCAAACTTTCGTGAACCTAAAGGAAGAACCAAAAAGTTGGTGATTTTAGTGTCATCAACCATTTGGTGTAATTGTGATTCACTTAGAGATCAATTCAGGTAACAAGACAAACATATGTGAGTTACGGGATGCGGAGTGCACACTCATAAATGTTGCCTCTATCACCTTAGTTCACCAAAAGCTGGGGGTCGAGGGGGTCATGCCCCTTTACAGGGATCTAGGGGCAGAGTCGAACTTTGGAATTTATGGAGAGTCGAACTTAATGAAAATTCCACTAAGTTTAAGTCTGGGCAGTATAATCATAGATCTGATCCTTCTGATAAGAGTTTGAAGTTTGGAGAATGCAATCAGACTTCAGGTCTATGCATCTAGATTTAGGAATTTGACTAAGTCGACCATAGAGTCAGTGATCTAAACTATGCAACAAGACTTAAGTTCTGAGCACTCAGACTTGGAAGAGTCAGAGTTCGAGGGTTTGGAGTAGAGTTTGGCCCTAGAACTTTGATTCAGTTGTAACTATTCTTCATTCTTATCCATTAACGGTTATAACCACTTAAGTGTCGTAACCATAGATCTCTCATTTTAATACATAAAACATCATTTGATGAATATATATATATATATATANATATATATATATATATATATATATATATATATATATATATATATATATATATATATATATATATAAGGTTGGGTTCCGGTGAGAAGTAAAGCTATGGTAAGAAGCATAAGAAGATATCTACACCCTTGGATCAGTCCTAATTGAATATCAACATTAATGAGGTGCACCGAGATGCACCAGATCAATTATCTTCTAAAGCGCAATCCATGGATGGACATGAGATTAAAAGTGACAAGGGTTTAGATCTCTTCTTACGCTTCTCACCATAATGTGATTCCAAGTCTATATATATACATATATATATATATATATATATATATTAAAAGTGACAAGGGTTCATATCTGATCTTACGCTTCTCACCATAACTTCCGTTCTCACACAATCCTTCGTGTGTGTGTATATAGACTTGGGATCATGTGAGACCAGTTTGTTTTCATGAGACCCGTGAAACCACTTTTTTACACTTGAAACATCACGGCAAAATGTTGTGAAGGTAACCTTCATAGTGTTTTTGCTATGAAGGTTCGGCTTTTCTTTACCTTCACAGCGTTTTGCTGTGAAGTTTCAAGTGTAAAAAAGTGGTCTCACGGGTCTCACGTGAACCCAACCTTACACACACACACAAGCACATATATATAGTGCCTTATTTCGTGTATAATGTTTTCTAGATTATCCAGTACTGATTTTGTGGAAATCCAAGGCATAGCAGGGGTAAAATATAGTATTTGAGAAGTATCTTTCCAATACACGATCTAGAAACATTCCAAGTATTGTACAACCACAAACCCAGTTCCCAACAAAAGTATCACAATCCATTCAATGGAATTTATCACTATTCATAAAAGCACAATAGTTTCTACTGGCCATACAGAACCATTACAAGGGTTATAATGAAGTCTTCGCATGCCAATGATCTTAGATGAAATCACAATGTGCTTGTGTGTGTATGCATCTAGATAATACATATATTATATAAATATCAATGTGTATCTGAAGAAAACATATGCTTTAATTCGTTAAATTCAAATATGTAAAGAAGCAGTTAGAAATGTCTTACTTTAGTAGGATCAACCTCTCCCTGAATAATGTTTAATATTGATATGTATTTTGCTAGATTAGCTTGCTTTGATCTAGCATTACAGGAAACCATGATATTTTTCGTCTGCAAAACAAGTAACTCTTAGGAAGAATGAATTAGGTTTCTAGCCTTTGTACTTGGTAAAGATGTATGAGACAATGAGCAATTTTAAGGACTTTCTGGTGGTTATTTTGCAACAAGATTACAAGTGCGATGGTTAGAATCACTTAGGGGCCATTTACCAACATGAATTAGGTAAGTGTTTAGCGGGTAAGCTAACTGGGTAAGAGTTACCACCATCACTTACTAGGTAATATTCTAATGCAAAATGGCATAGAAAGATTTATGGTATAGACCATCATCTCTTACGAGATAAAAAAACTTTTACCCCGTAAGAGGCAACAAGTGTTTAGTTACCCGGTATGAGGCGACAAGTGTTTCGTAAACAGCCCGTTACTTTTGCATGTCAAGTGTTATTTTTTTTATTTTAACAAGTACAATAGTTAGTTTATGATGAATGTTCAAGTAAGATGGTTAGAAAACTTGTTAGGTGGTTAGAAACTTGTTACTTTTTTCAGGACACATGACATTTTGTGCTTCATCAAAATAAATACTTTATGGTTCTTGCCTGAAGAAGTCTTCTCATCACATCTAATACCGTGGTCTTGCGAATCATATTAGCCTGCCACGATCAGGGTAGTGCATCAGCTTTTTGGTCCTCTATAGGCATGAATCACATTACGATACACCAAATTGTAAGTAGTTATTTCCATAAAAGTATTTACAATATTTGTACACTAACTGTGATATAAATGACATTGGAGGGTTTGATGGAAAGAAGCAAAAGAAAGAAAACTCCCCTTGCTTCTGATTAACTAAAACCAAAACCAAATAGACCCAGTATATCCCACCCGCAAGTAGGATCTAGGGGGTAAGATGTGTGTGTCAAATGAGATGGAGAGGTTGTTTCGGAGAAGACACTTCTCTGGTCAACTTATTTTCAATAATAATGTGGATCATATAGTTTACAGAGATCAACTGAGAAGAAGAAAGTTGAATTTGCTAGATTTGTATGGATTTGCATTGTATCCAATTAGAAAATAGGAAACATAAATACCGAGATCTTACCTGACGGTCGACAGTTAGTGGTGTATATCCTGTCATAAGAAAATGGCACCTCGGTGTTGGGATCAAAGAAGCAAGAAGGCCAACCAAGTCATTGTTCATGTATCCAGGGTAACGTAGAGTGGTTGTACTAGCCGACATAACAGTAGAAACTAAAGAATTTGTCTCAGAAACAGTAGGATTTTGTATATGAAGGCGCTCTACTGCAATTCTGTTAAGTGCAGTGTTATCAAGAACGACAACACAATCAGCATTTAAGGTAAGACGCTTGAGAGTCAAGAGGGAGTTGTAAGGCTGGACCACCACATCACTTGTCTCGTTCTGGTTAGGAAAAACACTATATGTCTGGAGAAGTTTTTTGCTGTAGTGATCATTTAGAGTCTCAAGAAGATACGAACCCATGCCTACATAAAAGATTAAGAAGCATTACTACTGCACAAAACTGTTGTCTAATGTCCAAAGTTACTACACAATCAACTTAGGAGTAGTTATTTGTTGGAAATGCGAGCAATGTACCTAGAACAAAATAAAAAAAAGTAGTCTCTAGCCATACAAGTGAAAGTGTATGTATCAGCAATCTGGCCGAATTAGAATTTACAAAGGCTTTATGTCTAAAATTATTTGTTGAATTGTGAAAATGATGGAAGCGTAATCATGCTAGAGGCAAGAAAACAAAAGTTCAAGATAAGACATTGTCAAAACCTGAGCCTGTCCCTCCAGCAATTGAATGGCATAAAACAAATCCCTCTAGGCTATCACTACCATCTGCTTCTCGATCTATCATGTCCATTAGATCCTCCTCGAAATGCTTTCCCTGCACAAAAGCCAATGATAATGTTGCAAGATCACAAAACATTCCAATGGATCAGGCGTTCGAAAGCACCTTGAGCAAAAAACACCGGGTGTTATTTTGACTTTAGAACGAGCAATTGAATCCAACAAGACAAAATTACTTGCAGTTGGAGAATATAGTATTGCATATGGCACAATCCATTAGAAAATATATATGTTTTTCAGATTGAACTGTTTTCATTTTTAGGTACAAATACAATCATATAACTTGTGTCCTAACTTCGGTGTTAGGTTAAAAAAACCTTCAGGGATTCTTGTAACAGCTTTCCACTTGCACTTTGTAAGAGCTTGACGACTAATTAATAAATGAACACTCTACCTGATCATATCCACTCGCCCAATTGTTTCCCGCACCCCCTCCATCATCTGAAATAAATATATTCTCATGATTATAAAGATCCCTATAGTCACCGGCTTGGATTCCATTAATCACTCTGGGTTCCAGATCCATAAGCAAAGCTCGTGGTATGTAATGTTGATCATCAGCTTGATAGAAAAATACATCTTTCCTGTCACCTGCACCTCCCTGCCGCAAGTTGAATGCCCAATATGCTCAAATGAAAACATTTCAAACGAATATATAAAAACTCCCAACTTAATGAATTCTATTTTTAACATCTCTGCCTTGATGCTACATACTGATAGCGTGCCTGTCTTAGAACATATACCCTCACTTTCCTGTTGGTGAAATCTCAAGTTCTAAAAATGTTTGTTTTTTCACACTACTCCAGGATTAGTGAGAAATCGTGACTCTTGTATAATTGCTTCCATGATGTGTCATGTAGCAATCGACTTATGAGGTACACAAAAAATTCCAAAGGTACCATAAGTGTGATTTCATTTAATATCACTAAAGAGAAAGTATGGATGATTTTTCTGGTTGGAAAGATTATAGTAACATAAAAGCTAAGAAAAAACACGGAATTAAATTTGGTGTTGATTGCAACGTCGTAGGTGCATCAGTTTCTCATCAATGATTGTATGAAACGCCTCTCCTCGCTAGTTTTACATTTTGTTTCTTAAACAACAAAATGTATTTCGATTCACGTTATTTAACTAACCCTTAATGCAAAACCTACCAACTTTTTCTTTTTTAAGAGATAAGAGTGTGATCACGGAGATAAAGAATGTAAATTTTTTTTATACCAGATGAATCACGTCGTAAAATTGGTGGTTTGTGTAGATTTAAACAATTCAAATCAAGTGATTACTACGATAAATTTGAAAATGATAACGTTAATCTGTAACCTGAGTGGCGTACTCTTCAAGAATGCCGTCTTTAGAGATTCCATGTTCAAGACAAAGTTGTTTCCAGAACTCCATTCCAATCTGGTTACCACATTGCCCTACTTGCAATGTGATGATTTCACGAGGCATCTCTGTGTTTTTCTTTTTCTCCAATTAGTTGTTCGCTTTTGTTTCTTAATAACTAGGGTTGCGATTGGCGTAGAGATGACGGAGACCATGGAAAAGGTGAAACCGGCAACGAGGATAGGAACGGTTGCTGGTGTGATCGAATGAGGCCTGTGTGTACAGAAAAAAATGGAAAATGATGAAAATGCCAATTTTGTAGCGGGTGAAGCTAACATACAGGAAATACAAAAAAATAAAGAATTCTTACGGAGAAATAGGATCCAGAAAATCGTTTATCAGTCTCAGGTAGAGATGCCAAAAATGGGTCCCGAGCCGGGCCTTAACCGATTACGACCGGTCCTAATCGCGACAAAAAAGCCCATAACCGGTCCCTCTATAACCGGACCCGGTCCTGGTGAAAAACTCTATAACCGGTCAAGCTTTACCATAACCGGTTAAGCCGGCCGGTCCCGGTTCCGGTCCCATAACCGATTACGGCCGGTCCTTTGAAAAAAAAATGTTTTTTTTATTTTTTTTTATTTTTTGGGTAATTAATAAATTTATAATATGTTATTAATATCTTTGAAATATGTTATTTTTAATATGTTTTATTATAAATACGTTTTATTATATATTATATATGTACGTTTAATTTTATAAATACGTTTTGTTATATACGTTTACGTTTTGTTATATACATTTAAGAATACACTTTAAAAATACGGTTTACTCAAATACACTTTTAAGGTACGTTTTATTATGATTAAAATGGCATTGTTTTACAAAATGCTAATAAAATACATTTATTTATCAATCTTCATCGGTATCCCATGTCGGATTGACTTGAAGGGTTCCGGTCTCTTGAATTCTTCTAATAGCCTTTTGGTCTTCAAGGTCATCAATGTCGAGTTCCTCATCATCGTCATATTGGGACTGGGAGTAAGTGCTCTCGGTATCGGTACTTGGTGGCATGCTTAGTCCCATAGAGATTTCATTTTCTTCAAGATTTTCTTCCACCGTTTCAATCTCCGTCTCTAAAGATGTTGTGTGTTGGATCCTATCAACGCTATCCAAATAATCCTTCAAGCAAATGCAACACTCCACGTACTCCGGGCTTAGTCTTGTCCGACGTACCGAAATTATCCTACCACTAAGAGAAAACGCAGACTCTAAAGCTACGGTACTAGCTTGGATTGTTAGAATATCACGTGCGATGCATGCCAAAATTGGGAATTGAGGTTGTTTTTGTTTCCAAAAATCTAACAAATCAATTTTTTCAAAATCTTCAACATCATTTGCGGGACAAGCGGCCATAAAGTTAGTATGCACATACATATTTAGTTCACCCAAATCGTTATCGTATCGACTTTTTTTACTTGATTCATTTAAAACCTCGTTCATTAAATTAGTCATCAACTCTTTACGACTTTGTCGATGACCACTAGAAGAAGAACTAGAACCCGCAAAACCACGTTGGGAAGGTGTTTGTGATTGGTTTTCTCCTCCGTAAAAATGTTTGTAATGATCAAATAAATCTTCTTAACAATTACGATTAAATAAACGTTTTTGTTCCGTTGAGTAAGAATTATCCGTAGCGGAATCCAAACCAAAAGCCACACATATTTGTGTAATTAAAACTTCAACACCAACAATATTTAAATACGGGTTTAAAGCCGCATCACAAAGAAAAGGAAATGGGATACCCATAAAATATTTTAACAATTTTTTTTTCATGGAAGACATCAACCTTCCCCAATCCACATGGTCTTCATATTTGGCAATTTTACTTACCAAAATATAGATTTGGTTTAAAACTAAAGGGCTTGTTGGATAATATATTCCCGATAAAAGTGTTGTCGCATTTTTAAAATCCCTTAAAATGTCGTACAATTCTTCAATCACGGCCCAATCGAAAATTCCAATAGTGTTTTGAGAATAATGGTTTTTATAAAAAGAAAAATTATAATTTTTTTGTTTTACTAAATTTTCGATCATAAAATATGTCGAGTTCCAACGAACGGGCATATCGTGGTTCGGTCCCAAAGCTCTAAAACCGACGTCTTGACAATACCTTCTATAGGCCGCATGCATTTTTTTATCTTTAGTGAAAATTCGCCGCAACATAAGTCTAAACTTATCTATTACGGGTTTACAAGTATTTAAACCGTCTTGAATGGCTAAATTTATAATATGGACACAACAACGTGTATGAAATAATTTTCCGTCTAAAATAGGTGTCAAATGACACTTTAATTTTTCMACACAAGCATTGTTATTACTAGCGTTATCAAACGAAATACTAATTATTTTCGCGGTTAAATTATAAAATACAAGGTTTTTTTAAAATTGAATATTGACGTGCACCCGAATGTGGCGCACCGAACGGTTCAAACGCGATTACACGTTTGAATAATTGCCATGTGCTAGGGTCAACCCAATGTGCCGTTATGCATATATAAGAAACCGGCAATCCGTATGGTGCGCTCCATACATCACACGTTAAAGAAATATTGTTAGGCAAAGAAGAAAACATTTGTTGCATTTCGTCTTTGGCAATTGTCCACATTTTTATAGCATCACGTCTAAGGGTTTGACGACTTACCGGCTTGTATCGTGGTTGTAGCGTCTTTTGAATCATCTTCGTAACGTGAGGGTTGTCGAAGTGTCCAAAAGACAAACCGACTTGAATGACACATTGTGTAGTCATTTGTCGGTTTAAATCGGCATCGTAGTTCCATATTTGACCTTGTGTGTCAAGTATCGGTTGGCTCGAATCACCCCCCGACCTCAACCCCAGGCACGTTTTTTCGGTGTGCCTCCTTAATGTAGAATTTCCTTCCGCCGTAAGGAGAGTTTGACACATTTTGCATTGTGCCTTTCGTTTCCCCGTCATGAGAACCACCAAGTTGTAGTGATTCCAAATCTCGGACTTTCGTCCGTGTTCAGCGAGAACTTGGGCAATTTGTTCGTTTGAGGGTTGTTAACCAGCCATTTTGTAAATCGTAAGTAAAAGAGAGAAATATACGAGAATTGTGAAGTGGAAACGATAAATTAATACGTAATGAATTCAAAAAATGAAACGAAAAACCGAGAATTGAGAGCGTTTTTTGCGTTTTTGAAGATGAGAAGAGTTGGTAATTAACTAAGGAACTTCCATCTCTATTTATACATGTTTTGGTAGCTAAGAAGATGAAAAAAAATGGTCATAAGGGAGTCCAACGGCTAGTTTGACTAAAAAAAGGTAACTTTGACTTTCCAACGGCTATTTTGACTTTTTTGTTGACTGGGCCGGGCCGGGCCCATAACTGGTTGCGTAACCGGTTCCGGTCCAAAAATTCCTAAAAAACGTTAACCGGTTCGTAACCGCCAGTCCTTAACCGGTTACCACCGGTCCCGGTTGGTTAAGGTTATGAGCCGGGCTCGGTTCCGGGCCTCCGTCAGTTACGGGCCGGGCCGGTTACGTTTGGCCATCTCTAGTCTCAGGTAAGGATCTCTTTCCAACTTAAATCCTAGTTAATTATTTACATTTTACACCCTATCATCAGTTACTTAATTTATTTTATATTTTATATTTTCTAATTTTTCTATTTTATATATTTTTTATATTAATATACACAATTGTTGATCCTCTCACAGAGTGATTTGATGATAATCATTTTTCTCTTTCACGTTGTATTTGTGTTTTTGTATTTTCAGTTCCAACGATCTTCATTGAGTATGTTCAGTGATCGCTGAAGAACTTGCATTGTAAATCTATCAGA